TGGTTCTGTTTATTATATTAGTTCTACTGTAAGCAATAAATCTGACTTATAGATATGGGGTAGTTCTTTCAATATTTGAAAAACAACGGTCAAAACATAAGTAGTATGAAAGCTCCCTTTATTCTGAAAAAAATTACTTTGGCACTTATAAAGTGTTTGATTATTATTTGTACCTTACGGACTGAAAGTCTTCTCTTGTAGGCCATGAACATAAAGGAGGTAAAAACAAAAAAAAATATGCGGAAGAGGCAACCTTTGCCTACTCTCAAACATGTTCAACCCAGGAATCATGTAATGGAGATGTTAGGGTTAAAGATGTTACCTTTGTTCGGATTAAAACTCCAGAGCAAATGTGTTCTTGATCTCAACTTGAGACTTGAAGAACACAAGTCCTTTGATTAAGTTCACATCACCTTGTTGTCTTGTAAGAGAATAAGGCTTTTTCAAACAACTAATATCCTTCAATAGAGGTCGCTAGACTTAAGAGAAGGGAGGAGGATGAGTGGCACCTATAGTGACCCTAAGAGAGAGAGATAGCCGTCACACTAGTGTGTGTGTTGGCTAGGGTTTTTGGTGGTGAAAATAAGAGAACAAGTGTGTCAAAAATAAGAAAGAAGGGGATTATATATGTGGCGCCTAATTGACCTAAAACTAGGTTAAATCAGCATTCTAATCAACTCCTAATCTCATTGGATAATTTTTTTAATTTTATCCGATCAATCCAATTGATTGGTTTCCTCAATTTTAGCCAATTAATCTAATTAATTGGTTTCCTTAATTTTGGTCAATCAATCTAATTGATTGGTTTCCTTAATTTAGCCAATCAATCTAATTTATTGTTTCCTTAATTTATACATTATCCTTAATTTTCTCCATTTTCATTAAATATAATTTAATGACTATATTTAAATTCAAATTTCAAATTCAAAATTCAAAAATAGAATTCAAATTAAATTTTATTAATTTAACATTTAAATTAATTAGGTTGCACCATGGGTCAAGTCCAACTTGGCCTATGATGCCACCTACCTCTCTCTTGGCCCAACATGTGGGCTTTACCAACTTAGGCACATAACCCTTATTGGACCCAAACCACATTTTTTAGAATTCAATACAACTTAAGTTGTTTGTGTATAACTCATCAGGCCCAACATAGCCACTGACATAAATGGGCTTGGACCCATTGGGCCTAATCATCTAATGACAACACAAAGCACTAGTAATGCTTTGTTGTCCAAGAGATAGTTGAGTTCATCGAATGATCAACTTGTTATACCTATTTGGTTACCGTGTGAATTGTCTTTTCATCTCGGTTATCCGTTCCATTGACCTAGGGCAAGGAAACGTATCAACTCCTGCGGTCTAGTTTTAGCTTTTGCTGAAACAGGAAATCTTCATTTACGGACTCTAAAGAGCGGGTCATCTCATGACTCCTTTACTATGCATAGATTCTCGAGTCCCGTAAATGTCATACTGGTTTCATCGGTCAATGGATAACCTATTCTCTCACAGAGATTGACGAATTCATTCAGCTTGTTACACTAGCCCTGAGTCCTTAGGGCAAGCCCAAGAGCATATCTACGAGTCTACATGTTTCAGGTAGGCAAGGTATACAATCAAAACAAGCCTTCTAGAGCACAGGTCTATGTGACAACGTCAGGTCTAAGGAAAGACACATCCAAATAATAAGAGACATTACTTACTGATACTATCTGTGAGATTTTCTTGTAGTGTCTCTTGATGGGCCAGTTCAATGCGAGTTATTCTTCAATAGGTCCACCCATGAGTCAGCTAAGACATCTTCATATTTGCAGCTCACAACGATTCTACCTTGCATCTCCATGCAAGTAGTTGAGTCTTACTAGTCTTACCTAAGATCACCAATGTCCATTCTTGATGTCTCTATACTAGGAACATATTTCTGGCAATGGACGTGTGGTGTTATTGAGCCCTCATTATCGTGATCTCTATCACAGATCCTCAATGTGACACCTGTTCCATTCTAAGGACTTTATCCAGTTACTCATATTCGATATAAACATATAATATTTGAGACATGCAATATGAAACAAGATAAAGAATGCTTTTATTCTTAAGTTTATTCATAACAATAAAGAAGTATATGAGTCTGTCTGACTCTCAGATTGTCTCTAAGACACCTATACACTAACACGTATTATGTGATAAAAGACATTGATAAAATTTATTTATAAGTTGCATAAACTTTTACCAGATAAAAAAATTGATTTCTTTTTCTCTCTGTGCAACACACAGGTAAATAACTAAGGGCTTGCAATTTCTCATGTTGCATGAGAAATTCAAGTTTTTCTACAGAGAGAGAAAGAGGTGGAGCCATCTTAAAGAAAAAAATAAAAAATAGAAAAGTGATTGGCACAAACATCGAAGTGAGAGTAGTAGAAAAGGAGACTTCTCATGCAACATGAGAATTCTTTTTCCCAATAACTAATTATTAACTAAAATAATAGAATCATGCTTGTACTCTATTGAACTATGAAATACGTGACTTCATCTTCTCAATTCTTTAATTATATAATTGTATATAAATGGATAATATAATAATTGTGATTACACAAAATTTGAAAACATTCAAATTAAATGAATACATAAGTGTTACTGTTATTCAATTTGATTGAACATAAGTTACATTTGATTGAACATAAGTTACATAATTGTGTATATTGTATTTACATTATACCTGTATGCCTTTTTTCACCCTCTTAATTAACAAAATCAATGTGTTAGTGGAATCATACTTAAATTTCCCAAAATAAAAAATGTGAAAATTATCCATAAGATTAACCATGCATGATTTATACATTAAAAATTCACTTTTTTTTTAACAATTTTCACAATTCTTTTATCTCTTCAGAATATAAGGGGATGTATTGGATTAAGATTTTAAAAGACTTTTTTGAGATAATTTTTTTTACAGATTTTAAAAGACATTTTAGAATTGAGAGACTTTAAAGACTTTTTTTTACAATCAAGATTTCATAAGATTGGATTTTAAAGGATTTTAATAGAATTTATAAGATTTGAAAGGACAATCTGGATTTATAAGATTTTAAAAAACCATATGAATTTTTAACAAACATTCAAAATTACAAAAGTCAATACAAAAGGGAAAGGTTATACTTACACCTTATTTTTGTTTACAACATTTTACAACCATATCTTAACCGTTGATTTCCGTCAATCAACGGTTATTATTCATTGCAAATTAAATATTAATTAATAAGTTTGATTTGCGAAAATAATAACCGTTGATTGACGGAAATCAACGGTTAAGATATGGTTGTAAAAGGTTGTAAACAAAAATAGGTTGTAAGTATAATCTTCCCCATAAAAAATAACAAAGAAATGCAATGAAATTAATAAAAAAAAAGTAAAACCTAATATAATTTTCTCAATCAGTAAAACATAATATAATTTTTAACTAACATTCAAAATTACTAAATAATAGCTTTTCACATATCTAATGGGTTGAAAATTATCTTCTTCATTTATTATCAAAGCTATGCATATATGATTATAAGACCCAATTATTTTTAATTACAAAAATAATTCTAAATTTGCATATAGAACCTAAAGTTCATAATAAAATTTCGTTTGGATTTTTTGCAATTGATCTTGAAAACCTTGGAGTTTTTGGAATTTGCTAACCATATGAATCTGAAATTTTGGGTTTAATTACATGAAAGTTTAGAAAATTTCTCAAATTTTTTTCAATCGATACATTGAAACCTTAAATTGCTTTGGGGCTTTTGAGAAACAAGTTTTTAGTTATCTATTGATACAAAAATTGTTTGAAATCATTTCCTATAGTGAAGGAATTTCGTTCATGAATGTATTGTTACGAAATATAGGGTTCAAATTATGAAAGTTTCAATCTTTCTTTAAATTGATATTGTCTCATTGATGTAAAACGAAAATTAGTTTGAGGGTTTTAGTTCCTCTGTTATTTTTTCACTATTTTATGTTGTTTTTAATACAAAAATCACACGTTTTTGTGCCAAGAAAAACTGCGACGCATAGCTTGAAAAATCACTCTTTAAACTTCCAAAATTTCTCAAAAATGGCTCAAAAAAATATGTTATTTTTGAGATAGATTATATTAAAATCTCATTGGTTTGTTGTTATTGGGTTGTTTTGTGATGAAAAGCGCTAAAAAATATGCTTTTTTTTACGAAGCTCCTATGGCGGAACCCAATTTCGAGTAGTCAACCTGCCAAAGGAAGAAGAAAACACTGTAATAGAAGAATCTCAAAAAATTCTAAGGGTTGGGGTGAGATTGTGATAGAGACATCCTTTTTATATTTTTCACTAAAATGTCTCACGAAATCCACACCAATAGAAAATCCACTAAAATCGTAGGATTTTTGAATACCACAAGATTGTGATTTCATTGTTTAAAATCCTGATTGAATACCAACGGATTTGGACGGATTCTAAAATAATCCTTTAAAATCCTAATCGAATACCACGTGACTTTTTTTCAATCCATTAAAATCCTAATCGAATCCAACAGATTTTTTTGTTCAAAGACAATCCATTAAAATTCTTTGAAATCTCAATCCAATACACCTCCTAAAACTCCCTCAAGTTTTCTATAAGTGGCTTTAATCCTTTACATATTTTCTTTAATCCATTGTATTAAACATATATTTTTTTCATTTAAAATTGCTAAAAAATGAAGTTATAAAAAATCAAATGAAGAGACCAAAGAAAGAACAAAGACGAGGCCCATAAAAAGCGGGCCAGCACGAAAAGCCCATAAGGTAAATAAGAAAATAAATGCAAACCGAATAAGAAAAAGCCTATAAATTTCACGATCCTTTCCCAGCTTCTCCAAACCCTAATTCTGGTCCTTCTCTGTTCTTTGTTTGTAGCAGCAGCCATTTTCTCTCTTCATCTTTTCGATAGCTTGCTCCAAAAGTCTAAACTTTTTGTTTTTCTTGTTGATTTTTGGTTTGAACGAGGACGAAGATGATGAGTGCTTCATATATCTGACACCTCTTGTATGAGATGGATCTTTGCTTGAAAAAGGTTCATCTTTGAGCACATAAAGCAACTCTCTGAGTCCTACAGAACCAATGTTCAAATTCCCTCTGGTTTTTCTTTATTTCATTATTTTTAAATTCTTATTCAAATAATGGGTGTGCGCCTAATATTGCAATTCTTTGATCTTCTATTTGATATGTCAAGGAATCTATCGTTAGGCTATATCAATGTTATTTTTGCATTTATATACACAACAATAGTATATATATGTAGTCTATCTTTAGCTCCGAATATCCTTTTCCTTGATAGGATTTTTTGGTGACAAGATAGATAAATGTTTTTAATATTCAACAGAATTATTTATGGGTTTTTCTCATTTGAATTTGATTTTCTAGATCTTTTTCTGGCTCGTGAATATATGATGTTGAATGATGATAAAAATCAGACGGATTCCCACTGATATTATTTATATGATTACACAACCAGCTACTTCTGACAACATCATGTTCATACTCTCGTTTTGCAGTAGTTTTAATTTTGTAAAGTTTGAATTAGATTTCTTTTGTGAATTGTCCCCTCTCCCTTTTGTTTTTAAACTCTTTTTAAATGGATTGAATGTTGATGTTGAGCCGATGATGCTAGAAAATATTTGCTACTCTTGATGGGAATAACCCATTTGATGAATTATTATCCACCAAGATCTCTGAGGCTTCCTTTTGTTCTTTTTATTAAGACTTGAACTGAATTTCAGAAAGTGCTTACCATATTGAAATCCTAAAGTTTGATTATTTTTACGATTAAGGTAGATTTTGTTCTTTAATCTTCTCCTAAATGTTTTTCATCTCTGTTTTTGTTCTCCTTTATCAAGTATAGAATGCTTCACTATCTGGTCTGTGGATTTGTTCAATTTCCATTTGACTCGTTCCCTTGAAGCTAAAGCTTGTGTGTTGCTTTTTCATGTCACTCCCGCAACCCTCTACCTATGTTGTCTTGGGATAACACTGAAGCAACTAAATTTCCTCAAAAGATTACATCTTTTATTTTTGGGTGTTTGTTTTCGTTTTGAGTGACTAACTGGGATATGCAGTGGTGTTTGGGTGACTAACTTTAATGGCTTGATAGTGTTATTTGCTTCCTTACTGAACATTTTGTAGTATTGCACCCTATTGACCTTTGAATTTTGGGTGACTTAATGGCATATGTTTGGAAAACCTTTTTGATGTTATATAATCTCAATTGAGAGGCTATAAACTGTTTTTGAAATCAGTTAATTGAATCACCATACTCATGATTTGGATGGGGCAAAATGTGTATTGAGAAAATAAACCAGAAGATTCATTATCATCGTGACAGAATGAATGGAGAGACATTTGAACAAGTTGTTAGAGTAAGAATAATGGTTAGTTGCAGAGTGTGAAATGAGGGGCAAGGAGTTAAAGGAAGAAACAAAAAAATCAAAAATTAAAGGAACTATAATGTGCAATAGTATGTGTTCTGGGTTTATACATCCGGGTATCAATAGTATGTGCAATTAAAGGAGAAGAGTTGATAGAACCCGAATGGGGTTTTACCCGGAAGGAAAGCTGGCCAAAATACCATAACCCAAAGTGGGTCATACCACGATTACATGATAGATTTCTATAACTACTCACGTTCACAATAACCACCTATAGAAGAGTTATATATACCAAAGACTAAAATTAACAGGGATATACACTAATCATACTAATGTTCATACAGAACATTTGGCGTCGTCTGTGGGAATAGGTAAAAAGATTCCTACCCATTTTCTTGAGTCATGGCAAGCAATTACCATGATGCGGAAGACGGCGGAGGATACCTAAGAGAGGAAGATTCTTTTCGATCCAGTGGAAGGAGTCGGTCTCTGGACACTATTGGAGAAGTTTTGATTCAGTTAATGGAGGATATCAGGAATAGGCAACATTTAGGAGGGCAAAGGAGACGTGGAGGAGAGGAAAGGCATCCTGTAGAGAATGAGCAGCAATCACCCAATAGAAGAGGAGATTCTTTGTCTCCTCTTCCTAGCTACATTCCTTTATCACCTCCAACGATGGGGGGAAATAGAAGTAATGAAGGGAGGAGAGGACAACTTTGTCAAGAATCAAGGGTTTCTCCAGAAAGGGGAGGCTATCAAGGCGGAGGACGAGGAGCAAATCTGCGGATAGGAAAAAGGATACCTGAGGATTATGCTCGGAGAATGGGCCGGGCTAGGCAATATCAAAATAGAGATGATGAACAGGTGGAAGAAGAGGTGACATGGGAGGAAGAACAGTATTTAAGAGCCCGTCAAGGTTATACTCGGCGAGATGAACGAGAGGTAAACAGAGGTCGATATGAAGAAACTTATCAAAGGTGGAGGCTGGAAGGAGGAAGAAATTATGGCAATTGCAGAGGTGAAGTTCCACGAGACGATATTGAGTACCATTACTGGGGTAGAGATCAAAGCCAAGGAGATGGAAGGTGACAAGCGAATTGGGATTATCAGCATTACGGACCAGGGCAGGCAGAAGGCTTGAGTCCTCATTATGGCAATAGACAAATGGCCAATAGGGAGCAGGATGTACTCGTTTGGAATGGATAACTCGGAGGAGCTTAACAAGGGATTCTGGCGCCCCCCATTAATCAGGGATCATCAAGAACTCCTTTGTCGGGGAGGCTTAAAGCAGAACCAATCTTGGTTTGGTTTAAGCAACGAAGTGACATGAAGGCGTATGATGGAAGTTCAGACCCAAAGGAGTTTGTGACTGTCTTCAGGGCATCAATGTCCTTGTGCGGCGAATCAGATTCATTATTGTATCGAACATTTCCTGTGTTTTTGAGAAAACAGGCTTTAGAGTGGTTTACAGCTTTACCAGATAACCTCATCGAAAGTTGGGTGGACTTATCACAACGGTTCGTGCAACAGTTCGCTCATTGCGGACCCCAGCCTAAAACAACGCATAATTTGTGCGGAGTAAGACAAAAGCCCGGAGAAAAGTTGCGAGGTTATTATGAACGTTTTCAGGCAGAAGCAAGACAAGTTAAAGGTTTAGAAAACCAGACGTACCTGTTGTTGTTCACTACTGGATTACAACCCGGAGGAATTGCCGACTCGTTAGCCAAAAAGTCTCCGGCTACAAAGGAAGATTTGCTAGAAAGAATCAGAAAGTATATTGATTTGGAAGAATTTAAATCTTCTCAAAAGCAAATTGAGCAAGGTTTTTGGGAAGCAAGTCAAAGTCGGATGTCGGAGAGACCAGCAGGAAGAGGGCAGTTTGAAGAGCGACGACCTTGTGTAGTCAGAGAAAGATTCAGAGAGCCATATCGGAGGGAGTTCACGCCTTTGAACACGTCTAGAGCCTAGATATTTAAAGAAGTAATGTCAGCAGAAATGAGAAATGTCCCAAGGTCGCCACCCATTCAGTCAAAGTTTTCAGACAAAACCAGATGGTGTGAATTTCATCGTTGGTACGTGCATTATACAAACGATTGTTTTAATTTACAGAACGTTATTGAACGATTGATCAAAGAAGGAAAGTTACAGAAGTACGTAAGAAGAGATGTAGATGGTAGCAATGAGGACAAATCTTAACGACCATACCGTAGTCGGAGCCCACCAGGAGGAAGAGGACAAGAGGCAGGCAAGATTCCACAACAAAAGCAAACATCTCCCAATCAAGTCTAGTTGGGTCACATGTATACTATAGCCGGAGGGCGAGTAGAATGAGGAGAGTCGAGTAATGCTCGAAAAAAGCATTTAAAGATGTGCATGACTATTTCAGACAAGCCGCGTTTTAAGAAAGAAAGAAGGAAGACAGGCAAACAAGTAGTTTTTGATGACCTAGATGATGAGATAATTGATCCAGAGCACGACGATCCTTTAGTCATTTCTGGGCTGCTAGCAAATTATCGCGTTGGTAGAATGTTGGTAGACCCGGGGAGCTCGGTGGACATTATATTTTTGGATGCGTTTAGAAGAATGGATTTGGATTATGACCACTTGGAGCCATGTGGAGCCGAGTTATTAGCTTTCACGAGAGATAAAATTAAGCCATTGGGATATATCCCATTGAGGATGACGTTAGGCAAGGCGCCCGCGCACAAAACAGTCACTTTGATGTTTGCAGTAGTAGAATTGAGCTCGGCGTACAATGTTATCTTGTGGCGGCCATTTATGAAGAAGTTTAAAATCTTCTTGTCGATTGATCAGTTGGCTATGAAATTTGTGGCTAAAGATGAGTCAGTAGCTACGGTAAAGGCAGACCAAGCAGGTAAGGAGAAAAATATTGTGGAAGCACCACAACAAGCCAAAGAAGGAAATGTACAAAAAGAAGAAGAAGGAAAGAAAGAAGAACAAGTAATGGTGGTGGAGATGGACCCTCGGGAGGAGGACAAGGCGGATAGGCCGGAACCCGCTGGTGCAATGGAAGAAGTTCAATTAGGGATATCTCCACAACAGTGTACTAAGATGGGGTCCGAGGTGGCAGAGAGTTTGAAGGATTTGTTGAAAAAGAATGCTGATTTGTTTGCATGGAAACCTTCAGATATGCCCGGTATGATCCGACATTATCTTGTCATCGCTTGGCAATGACCACAGGAGTAAAGCCGGTAGCGCAGAAGAAACAGAGATTTTGTTTAGAAAGGAGGAGGGCCATTGAAGAAAAGACACGAGCTTTTGGAAGCAGGGTTTATTAGAGAAATAGAATATGCTACGTGCCAGTGCTGATAAGGAAGCCGGATGGGAAGTGGAGAATGTGCACATATTATATAGACTTGAATAAAGTTTGTCCTAAAGACCCATTTCTTTTACCAAGTATTGATCATTTAGTAGACAGAGCCTTTGGGTACAAAGTGTTGTAATTTATGGATGCATATTCCGGGTATAATCAGATACTGTTATGGAAGGAAGATCAAGAAAAAACAGCGTTCATAACTGATAATGCAGTGTATTGTTATAATGTAATGCCATTTGGATTAAAGAATGCAGGAGCGACGTACATGAGAATGATGAACAAAGTGTTTAAGGCACAAATGGATAGAATGTTGGAAGTATACATGGATGATATGATTGTGAAGTCGGGGGACGGTAAGACACATTTACAAGACTTGCAGGAGGTGTTCGAGTAGGTTAGGAAGCATAATATGCGTTTAAACCCAAGTAAGTGCGCTTTTTGGGTTTCAACTGGAAAATTTTTGGGTTTCCTGTTAACAGAAAGGGGAATTGAAGCTAACCCGGACAAGTGTAGAGCAGTGATGGAAATGAAAAGCCCAGAGAATATTAAAGAAGTCCAAAAGTTGAACGGGCGAGTAACAGCTTTGTCCAGATTTTTGGCCAAGTCTGCACAGGTGTCTTTGCCACTATTTCAGCTTCTAAAGAAGGGAAGTAATTTTGCACGGACGGAGGAATGTGAGATAGCATTTCAGCGCTTCAAAGAGATGTTGGCTTCGCCGCAAATCCTAGGAAAGCCGGAAGCAGGTGAAGTGTTATACTTATATTTATCTGTTTCACAGGAGGCTGTTAGTTCAGTTCTCGTCCGAGAAGTGAAAGATGGGAAACAACAACCGGTATACCTTATAAGTAAGGTGTTACAAGGAGCAGAAACAAGATATCAACATGTAGAGAAAATTGCATTTACACTGTTGATTACAGCAAGGAGGCTTCGTCAGTATTTCCAATGTCATCAAGTGGTTGTTCGGACTAATCAGCCAATAAGGCAAATGTTGCATAAGCCGGACCTCGCAGGTCGGATGGTAGCATGGGCAGTGGAGTTATCTGAATTTGGCATTCATTTTGAAGCGCGCAACGTGATCAAAGCACAAGCTTTAGCCGATTTTGTCGTAGAAATGACAACCCGGAGGGAAGCAAGAAAATGGTTGGTGGAAGTTGTTTGTGGACGGGTCGTCCAACAAAAGAGGCAGTGGGGTAGGGGTTATAATAGAGAACCCAGATGGAGTGGCCGTAGAACATTCGCTGGCATTGGAGTTTCCCACGAGTAATAATCAAGCAGAGTATGAAGCAATGATTATCAGTTTGGTTTTGGCAAAGGGGCTCAGAGCCGAGCTCTTAGAGGTGTATAGCGATTCCCAATTAGCAACTTTGCAAATCATCAGAGTATACCAAGCTCGAGGGGAGATTATGATTAAATATTTGGCAAGGGTACAGGAGTTGATGAAAGAATTTAGGGAGATCCGAGTAGAGCACATTCAGAGAAACGATAATGTTAGAGCAGATGTGTTGTCAAAGCTGGCAAACACTAAAGCCTCAGGAAATTTGAGGACCATTATACAGCAGAATATTCAAGCTCCGAGTGTGGTGTGGATGGTCGAAGAGGTGGATTGGAGAAGCCTAATTATAGAGTATTTGGAAAAAGGAAAGGAGCCAGGAGAAAAAATGGAAGCAAGTCGGCTTAAGAGCGGCTTGGTTTGTGAGGATAGAAGGACAGTTGTATAGAATAGGGATAAATTCTTCTTTGTTTAAATGCATAGCTCCACCGAACACGGAATACGTGTTAGAAGAAATACACGAGGGGATCAATGAACATCATCTAAGAGGGAAGTCGTTAGCCATAAAAGCTATACGAGCAGGATATTTTTGGCCAACAATGAGAGAAGATGCTAAAAAACATGTACGCAGATGTGAACAGTGTCAGAAGTTTTCTAATGTATATCAAGCTCCTCCAGAAGAGTTGTTCACAATTTCATCTCCATGACCATTTTTTAAATGAGGAATGGACTTGCTAGGTCTGTTTCCTAGAACAGCCGGAGGAGTGAAATACCTGATAGTGGCAGCAGATTATTTCACCAAGTGGATAGAGGCAGAACCTGTCGCCACCATGACTGCTTGGAAAATAGTATACAGGTTTGGTATTCCGGCTATAATCATCAGAGAATAGCAACTAAATGTAGCAGAGTAGTTTGATGAAGAATAGCAACTAAATGCAATAGTGTCACACCAAGTTTGCACAAAGAATTTCAAGAAAGCACAGAAAGAATAGAACAACCAAGAAACTTAAAAGAGAAGGAGATGAAGAAGATGATGGCAAAGAGGGTGAGGGTTTTAAGGAGAAAAAGAAAAGGGGTGAATGAGAAAATCAAAGTAGGTAGTAATAAAGAGAAGCGAAAAAGTAACGGGCTTCTCGAATCTCGAAGGACAATAATGGCTGTCAGGATATGATGTTTCAGATGGGCAGCCGTTTGGAGAATCAAGGCAACAAGAAAGTGACAAATGGCAATCAAGATTAGGATTAAGTAGGAAGCATTTAATGAAGATGCTGACGTATAATAAAGAGAAGATATAAGGGGTAAAATAACTTATAAACTCGGAGTAAAATAGATATTGCACTCCGAGCTTGGGGGCTTAATGTTCCGGGTTTATACATCCGCGTATCAATAGTCAAGGAGAAGAGTTGATAGAACCCGGATGGGGTTTTACCCGGAAGGGAAGCCGACCAAAATACTATAACCTAAAGTGGTCCCTACCACAATTACATGATGGGTTTCTATAACTACCCACGTTCACAATAACCACCTATGGAAGGGTTATATATACCAAAGATCATAATTAACAGGGATATACAATAATCATACTAATGTTCATACAGAACAGTATGCAACTTGAATCCCGTTTTCATCAAGATTCTCTTTGCTGGGATTAACATGGGCCAGCTTGAATCGGTGTTGTCGTTGCCTCTCTTCTTTGACGGTCAAGGAGTTGATGGAACAGTTTGATGGAGCAGCTTGGAGTTCTTGGCCATGGGACTGCTTCTCCAACTGCACGAAGATTTAAAGGGTCTAGTCGTTTTGGTTCATATCCTTAACACTGCAAGGATCAGAATGAAAGATATTCAAGTTGTTAAAAACGATAACGAGGCCATTGCCAAGGCAACATTCAGATATGGCATTGTATGCAACTTTCCCCTCGGTCGAAACGTGGCCATTGATGAAAACGATTGGCTGGTTCCCCCCTGTTTGCCGTATTTCTCGTTAATCTCCGTGGCAATGGGAGTGAATTTTTTCATGTAATCATATTATGAGAAAAATTCCTAACCATTTCAGTGACGATTTTATCATTTGTTATTTAAATATATTTTTTTCTCTTTCCGCATTATCATTGATTTACTTATGAGAATGGTTATAATTCTTTTATAAGATATGATTATGTTAAATAACATATGAGAAGGTTTATTTGGTATATTTTTATCTGAATTGAATGAAAATATACTTTAATATTTATGTAGTTTGATCTTAATCGAAATGCATACAATTGTCTCGTACACTATGGAGATGGTGAGAAAAGATATATTTTACACCCCAGAGGGGCTATCATTGGAGATATCATTGTTTCTGATTCACTTTCTATTCAATTTGAATTGAATTAAATCTACTCAGTTAGAATTTTGATTTATAATTATGATTTTATATTTTTATGATTTCTTTATGTTATGGTTTTATGTTTTACAATTTTTTATCCTTTTGATTTTATGTAAAATCTCAATTTTAACTATTTTGATCTTGACATCTAAATTGAACGAGTAACTAAATTGAGTTTATATAGTTTGACATATTTATCGTTAGTACACGTACAAAATGTTCATTCTCGTAACAGTGATAGCATGTTAGGGGGTGTTTGGTAGAGAGTTTATTTTCAGATTCTCGGAAAAGTATGAGTGGTAATTTAATTTATTCATATTTGGTAGAATATTTTTGAATTTTTTTTCCTGAAATGTGATTTTTCTGAAATTTAATTTTGAGTGTAAAATATAAATCTCCCGGCAAAATGAAAAATTAGATGTGAAAATTTTGACAAAAATTCTGGTAATATTTTGACCTGTTAAGTAACTTTTTGGTAACATTCTCAAAAACAGTTATTGAGAAAAAAAATTCTTTTTTACCAAACACCCCCTTAGAGTTTTTAGAATCCTTTAAAATCTTAACAAATGAAATGAAAAAGGGAAGCTAATGATATTGAGCTGCTGGTAGGTTTGTTATGAGTTTTGGGCTTTTTCTATTAACAATCCAGTAACTTTTGTTAGTCAAGATCTTTGACTTATTAGAATTTTGAAAACTCTAATATGCTATCACTATTACACAAGAGTAGTAGAGGTGGCAAAACGGGTCTGTCCCCACCCGCCTCGCCCTGCCGCCAACTCGTCAAAAATGGGTTGGCCCGCCCCGTCTCGTATTTTGGTATGGGTTGAAAATTCCAACCCATCCCGTTTTGTGGTGGGTTGGCAGGTTGGTGGGTCAACCCGCCTAAAAAATAAAAAATAATTAAAAAATAATTAAATTATATTTTATAATATTTTTTATTTTCATTTAACAATCCCTTTAGTTTTTTTCCAATCTCAAATCTAAATGTATACTAATATTCAGTCAAATATTTTTTAGGAACTTATTTTTGCCTCAATATATGGATAACCTTTGTAAAAAACAAAGTTTTTCTTCTTTATTTTTACCAGGGGAGTACTAAGATAAAAAAAATTTCATATCACAAAAGCTTAGTGACAAATAAAATACTACCTATTAGTAAAAAAAAAAACTTACCCGCGAGTCAACCTGCCCCGACCCACCGTAAACCCGTTTTAACCCACAACTATGGGGGGCAGATTGAGGTGGGTTGAAAAGTATAACCCAACCTGCCCCATTTTGACGGGTTGGCAGTTTGACCCGTCAGGTTCAACTCAAATTGTCACCTCTACAGAGTAGTAAAGAGAGAGAAAGAGATAGTGTACATGAAGATAAATTCCTCTTATCAGAGAATAATCATTTCAGGGGTCATGAGCATCTGGTGCGGGCAAAGGTGGTCGTGGTGAAAGGTCCTTAGGAAAGGTAATACGATATTTCAACCTGGGTTTTCAATTTATCAAATATAGGGAAGGTGAGAGTAAGTTGAAGATTGAGGTCTTTTTGACTCTTGCAAAACTTTTGATGCCATTTGCATTACCCTTATTCATACCTCCTTTAGCTTGTGAATCGACATAGAGCCAATTTTTACCAAAACCGGCCATGGCAAACCAAATAGTTAATCAGATTCAATCTTTATTGGATAAATATCATAAAGCATGATGAAAAAAAAAATTCTTGTTTATGAGGAATTACATCATGCCATACATATCCTTTATTCAATAAATTCATGGAGTAGTAAAATAGATTATATCTTTGCTTGTGATAATCCTTATTTTCTTTGAATCACTCGTAGATGTTGAAGTGCACAAACCCCTCCAATGAAATCCACACTATTGGTTGAACAACACAGGAGAATGCTTCTCTTCAACTCCTCCTCGCTTGAGAGCTTGCTAGGCCAAAAAAGGTTAGAGGAATGTATCAATGGTCCTTGTGTTACAGATCAATAATGAAGCTATGCAAAGTTCCACACGTGTCATTGCTTCACTCGTTTACTGATTAAGTCAGTTAGTTAGTTTACATAAAAGTCTGTTAGTTAGTTACAAGTTACTGATATAAGTAGTTGTCATGTTGCCTTTAATTGTACCTTTTGATATATTCATTCTTCCAATTAATAAGATTGATTCTCTTCTTCATTCCTTCTCTTCCCTGCGATATGAATCTTTTCAGATCAAGATTACCATTGTAAGATGGTATCAGAGCAAGAGGCTCTGGTAACCAACCAATTTTCCGCTACTGCAAACTCTGCATACCTTTCTTCTTTTCTTGCTTAAGCCATTTTTTTTTCAATGGCTAATCTCCCAGATTTCCACACAAATCCCAGTAACCCTTTCTTTTACACACAAATGAAAGCCCTGCTTTAATCCTTGTTACACCACCTCTTGATCCCACAAATTATCACTCTTGGGCCAGATCAATGAGTATGGCTCTCCTATCCAAAAATAAACTTGGATTTATCGATGGAACAATTGTGAAACCAGCAAATATTGATCCTACTTTCCATGCATGGGAAAGATGCAATACCATAGTGCTTTCTTGGATTCATCGATCAATCAACAATTCTATAGCCAAGTCAATTCTTTGGATCAATCAAGCATGTGAAGCCTGGGCTGATCTCAAGGCTCGGTTCTCACATTCAGATATTTTTAGAATTTCTGATATCCAAGAACAAGTCTATCATATGCAGCAGGGTCAGTTTTCTGTTACTGATTATTTTACCAATATGAAGATCATGTGGGATGAGTTGGACAACTTAAAGCCCTTGCCAACATGTAGCTGTGCTTTGAGGTGTTCCTGCAATGGATACCCTTTGATGCGTGAGTATAGAGACTGTGATCGCTCAGTGAGATTCTTGAAAGGACTTAATGATCAATATGGTCATGTAAGATCCCAAGTAATGATGATGAAGCCATTGCCAGATATCAATACTGTCTTTTCTTTAGTGGTTCAACACGAAAGATAGATTCAATGTGAGTCAAATCCGAACCAACTTGGAAATGATCCAAGAATATTTCACAGTTCCACAGATAACACAAGATTCCACAGTTCCACTGATAATCCAAGATTCCACAGCTCCACTGATAACCCAAGATTTCACAATTATACTGATAATACTCACAGAGGAGTTTATGGAAGAGGAAGAGGACGTGCAAGCACCAACATATTTGGAAGAGGGCGTGGGAACAACACGAAATTATGCACTCACTGTGGGAGAACTAACCACACTGTTGATACTTGTTACAAAAAGCATGGATTCCCACCGAACTTCCAATCAAGGAATGCTGCAAATTTTTCTTCACAAGATGACAGTAATGAAGCTATGCAAAGTCAAGAAGTTCAAGAAGCAAATGTGACCATATCTCAAGAGGAGTATGAAAGTCTCTTGAATGCTTTCAATCATCAGAATTCCATAATGCCAGAAACACCAATTTCCTCAACCAATATGATTCAGACCACTGCTCTAAATGCAGATTCAACAGGTAACTCATCAGGCAGATGGCTTCTTGACACTGGAGCCACTAACCATATCAGTTTCATATTTAAACAGATACCATCGAATATGATGATTGGTTCAGCTGATGTAATTGATGGATTATATGTGTTAAAGACTCAATCATGCAGATATCAGAGTACAAGCCAGAATATGGCCTTTATAAGGCCTTGGGCACTCCCACCCCTTGAGCTAGCTTTTGGGGTGGTGTATTCCAAGGTTCTTTACATGGTATCAAAGCTCTCACCATCCCCCGCTTTAAAAAGTGGAATTAAAATAAAATAAAAAGCACAAAAAGGTAAACCAAAAATGGGCCTGTGCAATTTCAACGCTTCTAGCCTAAAGGGCTCTTGCGTGAGGGGACGTGTTGAGATATATAGTCCCACATTGATTGGATGGGCAACTAATATGGCCTTTATAAGGCCTTGGGCACTCCCACCCCTTGAGCTAGCTTTTGGGGTGGTGTATCCCAAGGTATCAATAATGAAGCTATGCAAAGTTCCACAAGTGTCATTGCTTCACCCGTTTACTGATTAAGTCAGTTAGTTAGTTTACATAAAAGTCTGTTAGTTAGTTACAAGTTACTGATATAAGTAGCTGTCATGTTGCCTTTAATTGTACCTTTTGATATATTCATTCTTCCAATTAATAAGATTGATTCTCTTCTTCATTCCTTCTCTTCCCTGCGATATGAATCTTTTCAGATCAAGATTACCATTGTAAGACCTTGTAACTTTGGGAATAAGAGAAAGAGTGAGGAAGGAAGAGAAGCCGTTGGTATCTTGGCTCTTTGTTTTGTGTTCATGTGTGTTAGGCACAACAACACACTTAGGGCTGTTAAGGTGACAATATGAGTTGAATCCGATAGGTCCGCCTACCCGTCAAAACGAGGCCGGTTGGATTACACGTATCAACCCATCAACCCGCTCCGCCTGTACGAAGTTTAAAACGAGTTAGGGACATGTCGAGGCGGGTTAAGTTTTTTTTTTTCAATTTAAAAATATAAAAATATATTTGGTTTTCTTTTTGTAGCTTTTCTTTTTGTAGCTTTTCTTTTTGAAACCCTAACTCCCTAAGACTTGTTCCCGTAGCTGTCGGACCTCACAGTCTCTACCTCTGGTCTAGGACCTCATATTCTCATAGTCTTCTTCGATTTCTTCTCAATCACCTATGTAGTCGTCGAATCACTCCCACCATTTTCCAAAAACCAAGGTTTTCTTCTTTCTTTTTGTTTTCAATATTGGATACACTTACATCATTTTTACTTTTACTTTTGAAGTTGATTGATTAAGACTAAAAATTGGAAATGTACGGCGAGAGAGATAAGCAAAAAAGGAGGTGACAAAGTTGGTGGCCACTAACATTTGTATTTTTTGTTCTAACTTCAACATACGAACTCAGAGCCTTCAATTCTAACTGGTACCTTATTTCTTAAAACAAATATTTTTCATTATTTTTTCATGTTTCATTTTTTCTCAAATTTATTTAACATCATCATGTTGATCTAATTCCAAGATAAGGCTTATCTTTTTTTTTTTTATTATTATTCATTCTATTGGTTTACATTTTTCTCGGTATTTTCTAAAGCCAAATAATCAATGACTAGCTTAATAATCTATATGGTTTATTTGGCACCTTTCCTTTTGGATTTAAATTTTATTTTCTCGATTTTTGTGGTTTCCTAAGTTACCAATTTTCGGGGGTAAAGAATAAGAGGATCATTTATGTGTTTTTAAGCTAGAAGCTGCTTATAAGCATAAGCTAGGCCAAACAGATTTTGGAAAAAGCTCTTATAACGAAAAGCTCTTTTTTTTTAATAATAAAGAAAAAAGCTGAAAACTAAAAGCTCTTGAGAGGAGCTTTTTTTTAAGCTCTTATCTGTCTTTCTTGAATTGTGTGCTTTTTTCAAAATGAAGAGTGATAAAGAGAGAGAGATAATTTTCTTAAAATATGTGCTTAGGTAATATTTAAGCTAAATTTTTTATGTAATTGCCAAACAGTTTTTAGCTTATTTTTTTAAGCTCTTTTTTTTAGCTTTAGCTTATAAGTAGCTTATAGTTTAAAAATAAGAGGATCCTTATTTCGCTTGATTGATGCTTCTGTATGGAACATCCAAACGCATATGTAGGACAAATTGATTACAGATGTAATTGAGTACGGTTTTCAGATGCTGATTAAAGTATTACCGTGGTTATGTTTGCGAATTGGATCCTCTTATTTTTTAAACTAAAAGCTACTTGCAAGCTTAAAAAAAGAGCTTAAAAAAAGAAGCTAAAAGCTGTTTGGAAATTATATAAAAAATTTAGCTTAAAAATTACTTAAAAGCACATATTTCAAGAAATTTATCTTTGTCTATCTTTATCACTCTTCATTTAAAAAAAAAGCACACAATTCAAGAAAAAAAGATAAGAGCTTAAAAAAAAGCTCCTCATAGGAGCTTTTAGTTTGCAGTTTTTTTCTTCATTATAAAAAAAAAGAGCTTTTTGTTATAAGAGCTTTTCCCAAAACCTGTTTGGTCTAGCTTATGCTTATAAGTAGCTTTTAGCTTAAAAAAGAGAGGATCCAAACAGGCACTCAGTTTCATTAGGACAGATTATTTTCCTTGTTTTGCTTATTATTAGCTCATCTTTTAAGTATTTTAGGTTTCAATATTTCTCCTATCTCTGTTTTCGGTTCCTAAGTTTATTGAGATGAACTTAATCTCAGCTTAACAAATAAAACAAAAGCATGATGTGTCCTCTATATTAAATCTCTCTTATGGCTATTACAAGTGTTAACCAACGAGGCAAGTAGAGGTGGAAAAATAGGCTTACTCGCCCCGACTCGCCCTCAACCCTCAAAAAATGGGGTGGGGCAGGTTGATTCGCCATTGGATGGTGGGTTGGAAACATCAACTCACCCGATTTTAAGGTGGGTTGACCCATTGACCCACCAAAATATTAATTGAAAAAAAACCATAAAAATTTCCCCCCTAAAGCGTATATATTGAAAGTTGATGACAACAATACTAACACCAAATCAATAGTACAAATTACCTGCAGCTACAACAATTCCACCTTCACCTCCAAGGATTCACCGTATTATCGTATGTGCTACTACCCACATCAGAACCATCATTCCAAAATTTCAACAATAACACATTAAATCTAAATAAGGTTTACAAATTATAAACAATTCAAAACATCCCACAAAACATATGCAAGGAAAAATTAAAACCACCCAATCACAAATCACAATTCTCTTCCACATCAATATTCATCAACATTAGATGCTCATTTAGAACAAGAAGCTTTCGCTGTTGAAATCTTGTTTCCATCATTGTCGTCATCGTCATTTTCATATACGAAAAACAATACAGAAAGTGGAATTATCAAATTGACAAACAATCATGAATTAAAATGAATTTATAATTTTATTTAAATTAAATAAATTACCATCGCTAACAAAACCAACCAACCAATTGCGGGTACAAATCAAAGCTCTAACATTCTTTGATATCATGCTACTTCTATATTTGTTAAAGATGCGTGCCCTGATGGGACAAAAATTCGTTCCCATCTAAGCCCATTTTGATGGCAAAATACCATCTGTTCCCTCATCTGATGAGAAACTTTAGCACTAAAAACACATGTTTTATGTCTTTGTAACAAAAACACAGTGGGGAACGGATGATGACGTAATCCTTTGGAAAATATAAAAAAGGGAACGAATTGGGAACATTAAATACACCTGCTCCACTAGCTCTATCTTTCTGACCACTTTGCAGGAAACATTGAAAAGAAGTTTCCATAAAGCATAAGGGTACAACAATCAAGCACGAAGAAATGTGTACAACAGAGAATAAAGAGTTCCCATTGGCTAAGAGGAAAGCAAGGCATAGGGGACTGCAGAAGAAACGAAAAATCTCAACAATAAGTTTCCCATCCAGCAACTTGCAGCCCTCTGAGCACTGTTCACACAGCCCCATTTATGCAGTCAAGAAAACAACTCCAGGGAAATTACAAGCCTTGCCATCCACTCTTCTGCCTATAAATAGGACGTTCCAGCACGAAGAAAACCATCAAATTCCTTAATAAGAGATCATTTAATTTATTTTGTAGTTTTTACATTTCAGTTGTATATATTTAGCATTAGTTAAGTGACAACAACTTCTTCCTTATTCTATATCACCCACTTGAGACTTCTCACGAGCAGCAACCATACTTCTCCACTTTTCATTTTATCGTAACCTAATTTGTTTCCAGTTAAATATACGTGTTATTTCTCTTCTTTTCCACTCGTTATCTCTGAACTGAATCTCGGGTCTATGGGATTTCAGTTTGGAATAATTATGTTTAAAGTAGTAGCCATGGGCTAAGCTATCTGTGGAACGAAAAAACTGTGAAGTTCTTAAAGAGCTATTTTCAAAACTCTTGTATTAAAGCTTTTGTATTTCTCTGGTTAAGTGAGCTATATTCATTGTGTATTAATGAAAATTGAACGCATACTGAGAAAGGAACTTTCATAAGGAACGAATTTCAGACAGCTTAAGCAGAGGGAGAAGGCATTGTTGTGGAAACAACACTACTGGCTGCCTTAGGAATAAGGGACCACCTCGTTCACAAAAGGTTCTGTGCTAAGTAACTTTTGGAGTCAAGGGAGCTATAGGAATATGGAAACTTGTGAGCCATTTAGTCCATGAGCTGAGGAATCAAAGTTGGCAGTGAAAAGACATGAACAAATGCAGAATGCTTAAGTCCTGAGTAGAGATTATAACTATTTAAGAATGGAACAGTGGATCCGTTCCTTGTGTTAAAACTGTTTTAAACCCTCCATATTGTTGTCTCTTAAGTATTGTTATTTCTATTGTTATTTTTGCTTTATTCAATCTTGTATCTATAAACCTCCAATGAATATTGTCGTTCCTTCTCTCATCAAGAAGGATTTCATATATAACGATGCGAGGAGCTGTTTGCTTTCAGATTGAACCTACTGTTTTTGAGGAACATT